CCCTCTCGGGCTGTTTTGGATACCATCATGGGCCATCTGGGAGGCCATCGTGGACCACCTTGGGCGACCTTGGGCGGCTTTCTGGGGCCGTCCTGGTTTTTTTTTGGGCCGTCATAAGGTCACGTTTGAGGCCTTCGGGGCCATATTCGGGCGATCGTTGGGGCCTCTTGGGCCTTCTTGGGCCGTCGAAAGGCCGAAGCGAAACCAACGCCAACATCCCCCAAACAAACACAAATCAACACATGTATATGTAGATACATAAATACAGACAAACCATGTACACATGCATACACACGTGGATACAATTAATTCGTCCAGCTGCCTACGGAAAGTAAGTCCCGCCGCCGTGCCTGGGCTGTGGGTTATATGCCTAGTGGATGTTCGTTGGGATCTTATGAAAGGGCCTGTCGGGGGCCTCTTGGAGGCAGTTTTCAGGCCTCTTGGGGGCCGTTTTGGGGCCTGTGGGGGACCTCTTTGGGCCTCTTGGTGGCCTGTTGGGGGCCTCTCGGGGCCTCTTCGGCGCCTCTTGGGGCCTCTTGGGGGCCCCTTGGGGCGGAAGGTTTGCATTTTCGATTAGGGCTCCGTCTCTGAGGCCCGTTTTGGGCCATCTTGGGGCCCTCTTGGGCTGTGGTGCAACCGATGTGGTGCACGCTATGACTGGTGCAGGGAGTATAACGTAAACTATGTGGTGGAAGCTTCGTGGTGCAAGCTGTGCGGTGTGAGCTAAGTGTAAGCACGTGGGTGTGACCCAGGCCTTGCGACAAATGGGTCCAAGCAAGCACCGGGCGCCCACCAGGCGCATCCAGCCGTCCAACAGGCGAATGCTCGGCAGACCTGGCCGGCGCACGGGGCGGCCACGGTGCGCCCATGGCCGCCCAGCAGGCGAGACCCCCGCAGACCCAGGCAGCGCACGCGGGGCCCACGGCTCCCACGGCCACCGCACGGGGCGCCCACGTGGAGCCCGCCGCCGACCACAGGGCGAACCCTTGGCAGACCCATCCAATTGCTCGAGAACGCACTGGGCGACGGAACGCGACGGGGTCGTCTTCGCCGGCGTTGGCGCGCACGCGGCCCGCGTGCGGCCGCGCGTGGGTGCTCTCGCTTCCAGCGTGGCGTGCCGCGCCAGCGGCCCGCGGAAGCCGCGGCGCAGGGTCGCTCCGCCACCTCGCGCAGGACCCAGTTCTGGTCGTCGCTCCCCGGAGCACCCCGAGGTGCCAGGCACCGCTTCGGAGCAGATGGGGCTCTCGGTTCGGCGCCGGGCACCCTCCTCGAGGCCGCCAGCAGTTGCACGGGCGAAGGGGGGCGGGATCCTTTTCGGAGTGGGCTTCTCGCCCGAGCGGCTCTCGCCTGAGTGGCTCTCGCCAGAGCGTGCATCAAGCGCAGGGCTCGCTTTACACGGTGTTTTGGCAATCTCGTGGGCCGTGTTCGTTTTGCTCTCGTCTTGCAGCACAGGCGGAGTGAAGACAGAACGAGGGAAAATGAGCGCAAGACGAACATGAAAAGCATGGGTTAGGTTCAAGTGGATCCTTGTTCGAAATAGGCGTCTCGCCTGAGCGGTCCTCGCCTGAGCGTTCAGACGTTGGGGAAATACATGCTCGGATCCAAGATTCGAGTAGTGGATCGACTGCGATGCTATGCGATACGATGCGACCCGCATTCCAGCCTCTATGGGGCGGCCCTCTCAGAGGGCCGGCGTATGGGACACGCAGAACTGACTGTCTGATCGAATCGGCGCGCAATTGAGTAGATTGCTTGTGCACCTGCGCACACTCTGCGCATCCTTCCGCAGACTCGATGGACAAGCAGCGTAATGGGTAACTCCTCCTCCTCCTCCTCCTCCTCCTCCTCCTCCTCCTCCTCCTCCTCCTCCCCCTGCTGTCCCCGTCGCCTCCCCGCGCTCTTTCTTGCCCTCCCCGTGCTGCTCGGGGCGTTCCATTTTCAATCTGACAGGAAGGATTGTCTCAGTAGGTCAATGATGCAGCTTCCAGATCCTGAAGCAATCGTGTACTACGAGGTCTGAGTTTCGGCGCTCCGGCGCCCCCGCCGAGCGCTTAGAGGGCCGCCCCCCCTGGGGCGTATATCGGCGCCTTGCCTTGCCTCGTGCTACTTGAGGCTGAGGGAGGAGGATAGATGTATTTTTACCCAGGACCATCTTCCAGGTCCGCATGAGGTGGGAGTGATTCAGCAACCGTGTCGCTGGCTCTGGTTAGCGCAGGTCGACAGACCAGCCCGAACGGCCCCCCGACCTCGCCTGAGCAGGTAGATGTTTCCGCACCTCCGACCCCTCGTACAGACCAGTCGGACGAATGTTTGTTGAGGTGTTGAGCATGTACACACACACACACGTCTTTATCATTTGATCTATTTGGTATACATGCGTAAAAAGAAAGAGAAAGAGAGAGAGAGAGAGGGAGAGAGAGAGAGAGAGAGTGCTTCTTCATCCTCCAGGGAAACAGCTGGTCTCCCCCTCACTTCTGCTACCCAGACCTCTGATGATGCGACGCTGCTCCTGCGGGCGGTGGTCTTGGCGGCCCCCTGGGCCACTCGGGGCATCTGTCGCCCATTTCTGCGCCAGGTTCGGCCAGGTATAACCCACCTTGGCGTCTAGTGATAGCCCCCTGCCCCCCTTGGCAACTCTCGTGCCGATCCCAGCAGGATGAAAAGCCGGTCCCAGGGGTTGGGTCCGGTTGGGTCCTCATCTCCGGGGAGGAGGAGGAGAAGGAGGAGGAGGAGGTGTAAACCCAGGACGCACCAACGATGTTGCAACAAACCCTTCCTCCAAGTTCCCTCTTTGTAGTTCACTACAGGAAGTTCTTTCATTGCGGCATGTGCCCCATCACACGACAACCGTTCGAGAATCTTCAACAGTGCCAAAATATCGTTCTTGGGATACTTACGCCGCGAATCAACTTGACTGTGGCGTCTTGGCTACCCTGAATCGTGCCAGAACACCATGCCTGGGACTTCAACACTGCGAATCAGCCTGACTTTTGCGTCCTGACAATCCTACGGCGTGCCAGAACACCATTCCTGGAACTTGAATCCTACAATTCCTTGAACCAGGCGAATGTGTACCGCGCTAAGGCGAGAGCCAACTTATGCAAGCAGCCGCCCTGCATCCAGGAAGCGGTTGGACACCTCTAAGACGAGTGTGCGCGGCGCTAAGGCGAGAACCACATTTTGAGAGCGGCCTGGTCTGCATCTGTGAGACTCTTGCTGATTTTAAGACGGAGGTGCGGGCCCACATGCCAGAGCCACATGTTGGAAACATCCGCCCTCCATCCGTGAAGCTGTTGCAGTCTTTTCAGACGAATTCGCGCCGTAACCGGGCGAGAGGTACATTTTGAAAACGGCCCGCCCTCCATTCGTGAAAGTGTGGCAGTTCTTAGTCTCAGGATCACGAGTGGCGAGGGAGTCTCGGGCGAGACGCCCGGCCCGCCCTACCGACACGTCTCTGGGTGTGGCAGGGGAGGGGCTATATATTTATACGGAGAAGGGACGGAGGAAAAGGAGGCTGGAGAGGGAGGGGGAGGAGCAGGAGGAGGAGGAGGAGGAGCAGGAGGAGAATGGATGGGGGGGGGGAGGGGGAGGGGGATGAGGAGGAGGAGGAGGAGGAGGAGGACCAGTGTACGTAAACCCAAGAGTCGTCTTCGATGTTGGAATAATCCCTCCCTTCAAGCTCCCTCTTCGTAGGCCCCTACAACGGTTCATTTCCACTGAGGGAACTGCCTCGTTGGAAGACAACCGTTTAAAAGCCCTGAAGCATGCCAAAATATTGTTCTCGGAATTCCAACGCCGCGGATCAAGCTGACTGTAGCGTCATGACGATCCTGAATCGTGCCAGAACGCGATTCTTGGGATGTCAACACCGCGAATCCACGTAACTGTTGCACCCTCATGATCCTGAATCCTTCCAAAACACCGCTTCTGGTACGTTGACCATGGGAATCCGTGAAATTCCTGCACATTTCATAAACGAGTGTGCGCGGCGCTCAGGCGAGAGCCACATTTGGAACAGAAGCTGCCTTCACTCCGTGAACATCTTGCAAATGTTCAAGACGAATGCGCGCGGCACTGAGGCGAGAGCTACATTCCGAAAACCATCCGCCCTCAGCCCGTGAAGCTCCTGCAATCAAACAAAAAACGTATGTGCGCGGCGCGAAGGCGAGGGCCACATTTTGAAAACCAGCCGCCCTCCATCTGCGAGATCGTTGCCACTTTTGAGCTTCATAGTCGCAGCTTGCTGTGAGGAGGTCTCATGCGAAGCGCCCGACCCGCCCCCAAAACTGGCTTCGGGGTGCGACAGGTAGCAGGTATTTATATCTATATGGAAAAGGCATGGAGGACCCCGTGGTGAAACAATCGCGACGCCGAGGGGGGCGGAGGAGGAGGATGAGGAGGAGGAGGAAGAGGAGGAGAAGGAGGAGGAGGAGCCCTCCATCCGCCGCTCCGCGCCCTGGACCGCCCCCCGCCCCCCCTCGGAGAGGGCGGCCCGCCGCATCCCCAGCCCCAGAAGCGGGGGAAGGGCGCAGACGGGCAGGGGGGGAGGGGGCAGGAGGGGAGGAGGAGGAGGAGGAGGAGGAGGAGGAGGAGGAGGAGGAGGAGGAGGAGGAGGAGGAGGAGGAGGAGGCGGAGGAGGCGGAGAGGCGGAGGAGGAGGAGAGGAGGAGGAGGGGAGGAGGAGGAGGAGGGAGGAGGAGGAGGAGGGCCTCCTAGATGGGGTCCGAGTAGATGGTGTCGAAGGGTCGCACCGCATCGCCAATGCATCGCCGATGTATCGGCAATACATCAGCGATGCATCGGCGACGTCGGCGATGCGGCGCGATCCTCTGACCCCATCTACTCGGACCCCGTCTAGGAGGCCTCTATAGAGGCGCCCCTGCTTCTTCAAAGGCGCGGGCCTTGCCTACAGATGTAGGGCCGGCGCCTTCTGAGATTCAGCTTCCTTCCAAGAGGCCTTCCCCCCTCCCCCTACCCCCCTTCTGCGCGCCGCCAAGCCAGGAAAAAGTGATCGAGCAGGAGAAGATGCAGGCCCAGGCGGCCGCGCCCGCGTGCGCAAGGTAGATCCGACGCTTCAACAAAAACTAGAGCGGGCTTTTCTTGTATGTTTTCGGCCTCTGGGAGCCCTTGCTGAGCCCTCGGACCGGCAATAAACGACTCATTACGAAAAACTGGTCCTAGGAAAGGGGTCCAGGCCTCCGGGGCCCAGCCCGAGTCATTCTAGGCCGTCCTGGTGGGGTCGAACTAGATCGGATCGGGGAATCGCGCCTTGTGGCCGATGCATCGGCGATGCGGCTCGATGTGGAGCTCGGTTATCTCCACGACGACGGCGCCGATGCGTCGCAGACTTCGTCTGTGCTCTGCCAATGCATCGGCGGTGTATCGCCGATTTGACCGGTCCTACACGTATCTGCAATTCTTGGGAGGTTCAATCTAGGTCTATCTAGTGGGGACGGAGTAGATATGGTCGGGGGATCGCGCCGCGTGGCCGATGCGTCGGAGATGCGTCTTTATGTGGAGCCCGATTTTCTCCACGTCGACGGCGCCGATGCATCGTTGACGTCGTCGGTGCATCGCCAATGCATCGGTTGTGCATCGCCGATTCTACCCGTCTTACACGTACCCCCATCTTGGGATGCATTTTTGGGAGGTTGAATCTAGGTCTTCCTAGTGGTGTCGGAGTAGATGGGGTCGGGGGATCGCGCCGCGTGGCCGATGCATCGGCGATGCGGCTCGATGTGGAGCCCGGTTATCTCCATGTCGACGGCGCCGATGCATCGCCGACATCGATGTTTGATCACCAATACATCGGGGGAGCATCGCTGATTCTACCGATCCGACACGTATCCCCATCTTGGGATGCAACTCCTGGGAGGTTGAATCTAGGCCTCCATAGTGGACTCGGAGTAGATGGGGTCGGGGGATCGCGCCGTGTGGCCGATGCATCGGCGATTCGGCTCGATGTGGAGCCCGATTTTATCTACTTCGACTGCGCCGATGCACTGCCGACTTTGTCGGTGCATCGCCAATGCATCGGTGGTGCATCGCCGACTTTACGCGTCCGGGACGCATCCCCATCGTGGGATGCAACTCCTGGGAGGTTGAATCTAGGTCTCCCTAGTGGTGTCGGAGTAGATGGGGTCGGGGGATCGCGTCGCGTGGCCGATGCATCGGCGCACTGGCTCGATGAGGAGCCCGGTTATCTCCACGTCGACGGCGCCGATGCATCGTCGACGTCGTCATTGCATCGCCTCTGCATCGACGGTGCATCGACGATTTTACCAGTCTGACACGTACTACCTTCTTGGGATGCAACTCCTGGGAGGTTGAATCTAGGTCTCCCTAGTGGTGTCGGAGGAGATGGGGTCGGGGGATCGCGCCGCGTGGCCGATAAATCGGCGAGTCGGCTCGATGTGGAGCCTGATTTTCTCCGACAGCGCCGATGCATCGTCGACGTCGTCGGTGCATCGCCACTGCATCGGCGGTGCATCGCCAATTTTATCCGTCCGAGACGTATCCCCATCTTGGGATCCAACTTTGGGAGGTTCAATGTAGGCCTCCTTGTGGGTCGGAGTAGATGGGGTCGGGGGATCGTGCCGCGTGGCCGATGCATCGGCGATGCGGCTCGATGTGGAGCCCGATTTTCTCCACGTCGCCGGCGTCGATGCATCACCGACATCGTCGGTGGATCGCCCATGCATCGGCGAGGCATCGCCGATGTATCGACAATGCGGCCTTATATCCTCCGATCCGATCTCCTAGGACACCATTCGGGAGGCCTCGAGATATAAGTATGCCCATCTTGGGATGCAACACCTTGGAGGTTCCATCATGGTGGAAAACCGGTCCAGTGTGGCATAATCCCTTTTAATTCCGACTCATATGGCTTAGCCTCGCTCAGACCTCGGCTTCGTAGTAGCAGTCGTCGGTCGTAGCAGTGCTAGCAGCAGCGGGTTTAGTATCGACATTGTCTTTGGCATTGGCAGTCCCATTCGCATGTGCATTCGCATTCGTATTATTTGAAATCCCAGTGGTACTAGTATGAGTATTCGCATTCGTATCATCTGTGTTAGCACTTGTTTCAGTTTTCGTGTCATTGGTATTCGCATTTGTAGTAGTAGTAGTAGTAGTAGTAGTAGTAGTAGTTTTAATCATAGTAGCATCAGTAGCAGCAGTAGCAGTAGTAGCAGTAGTAGTTGTAGTCGTAGCCGTAGTAGTAGTAGTCGTAGTCGTAGTAGTAGTAGTAGTAGTAGTAGTAGTAGTAGTAGTAGTGGTCGTAGTAGTAGGAGTCGTAGTAGTAGTAGTAGTAGTAGTAGTAGTAGTAGTAGTAGTAGTAGTAGTAGTAGTAGTAGTAGTCGTAGTAGTAGTTAGGAGTAGTAGTAGTAGTAGTAGTAGTAGTAGTAGTAGTATAGTAGTAGTAGTAGTAGTAGTAGTAGTAGTAGAAGCAGCAGCAGCAGCAGCAGCAGCAGCAGCAGTAGTAGTAGTAGTAGTAGTAGTAGTA